ACCATCTTACTTCTACACATGGAAGTTCGTACATTCCAAGTTTCCTACATTCCCATCTGCGTGTGACTTCTCTCATGGTGGACATGTGAGCCCACCAGCACTTCCCTGGTGTTTGGTGGCCATTTGGAAGCCACAAGGCTGAGGTCACCTTTATGTTTCTCCACAGGTGGTGGTGACCCTCAGCGACCCAAACGTCACAGCCCCCTCCAGCTCCGTGGGGCTCACCAACATCACCGTGACCCCCATCACCACGGCAGCTGGCACCCAGTTCACCAACCTGCAGCCCGTGGCCGTGAGCCACCTGAGCACCCCTGAGCGGCAGCTGCAGCTGGACAACTCCATCCTGACGGTCACCTTCGACACGGTCAGCGGCTCGGCCATGCTGCACAACCGCCAGACTGACATTGCGCTCCCGCCGCAGCCCGAGGCGCCCAACCCCCAGTCCGTGGCTCATTTCATAAACCTGACCACCCTGGTGAACTCCATTGCTCCCCTGGGCAACCAGATCCCAGATCAGCACCCCCTGAGCTGGAGGTCAGTGCCTCAGACTGATGTGCTGCAGCCCCCGGCGCCGCAGCAGCCGCAGCAGCCGGGCCAGCAGCCGGTGCAGACAGAGCAGCAGCAGCAGCAGATGTACAGCTACTAACTTGTACTGGGGGAATGAGTGCTGGCCTGGACACTACTCAGAGACACACACAAAAAAAAAAAAAAACCCACACAGACCTTTGGGAAATTTCTACTAGGATTGTTTGCTGGATACCAAACAGAGATGGGAAAATGTTTATACATGGAAATTTAAGCTGAAATTGGCAGATCACCCTGCAGCACCCCAGTCTGAGATTCTCACGCTGTCTCTAGACCTCACGCTGTCTTAAAAAATAACAGAAAGGAAAAAGAAAAAAATCTCACCACAAATCTAGCAGCCCCTTGCAGTTGTGCAGTAAGATTGAGATTTGACAGGTGCATCATCACACACCTTAACCAAAGCAGGGAAATCCTAAATTTTGCAGCACTTGTGATATACAAAACCCTTTCACTTCACTTTTCATACCATGTCACTTCTTTCCAAGTCTGGAAATGACATCTGAAGACCTTGTTCACAGTGGCTGGAATGTCCTTGTGGTCAGCTGGTAGAGACTGAAGTGTGAAGACTGAAAGGGGCAAAACAAGAATTATCTTTGTTTCTTATCTTCTTTAGGTCTTGTATCTAACAACATCAGTAAAGTAGGTGGAATTTGGGGTTTTGGGGTGGGCATGAGTGTGGTGTGGAAGAAAATATTACCAATTATTTCCATTTTAGTCATGGGAAAAACCCTGTACCCTTCAGACAGTGTTAGTGTTACTTGAGCCAGAGAGCTGATCTAATGCTGAAGCAAATTTTTATGGTCTTCTAGTCAAGTTTCAATCAAACCAATTACAAACTGAAAGAAGAATGTGATACAGTTTTATGTAATTTTTTAAACCTGCTCTTTCAATCTTGCTTTTAGCTAGTAGGTCTGAAGAGCAATCAGTCCCCTTTGATGAAATTCAGGATGTGAATTTTTTTCAATTAGATTTATTTCATCGTGTAATAAACACTTGAGAAAGCATTCTTTTTATATATATATACATATACATATATATATATATAGCCTTTGTATTTTACTGTGTGTTCCTGGTGAGTATTTGTGTGAAAAACACTGTTACCAACACGGTTCAGCAGTTTTTTCATCCCCACGTTGCCCCTTCTCACAGAAAAAACATACGGATTCTATTCCTTCTGTTTCCAAAATTTATTCCCAAAGTTCACAGCCACACACAAGGTTGTGTGAAGTGCAAGAAAAAGAAAAAGGAATGTCTGAAGCATATTCTGTGTCCTGCCACACGGAGTCAGTGTGCCCCAGTGTATAGTGGGCAAGGTTTGCATGGCTGCTGGGGATGCAAAATTGTGGGTTGGGTCAAACACCTTTGCTGACAGTACCCCTTCATTTCATTCTCCATCCATGGATATGCAGTCTGGACTTTTGCATGTCAAGAAGATAATATTATTCCCACAGGGAAAATGAGCTGATAGCAAAAAGGAATAAACTAAATATATATATATATAATATGCACACACACACACACACACATATATATATATATATGTGTAAAATGTTGCTTGAAATCCTGAAGGGCAAACCCCTTCTGTTGTGGCAGAAGAACAAGGTCTTTTGGGGCAGCAGACTGAGCCACAGAACTGTGCTGAAGGGTTTTTTTTTTTCTCTGAGGGTAAAGCAGCTGCTGTGTCTGACAGTGAGGATGGATTGGTGGTTGTAAAAATCCTGTCTGTGCTTATCATATTTATGAAAAAGTTGTATGTTTTAGCAGAAATATGAGTAGGAACGACTTCAGCTTTGAAAGTTACTACTAACATGGACTACTTGACCCCTAAAGGTTGCCTTATAATCTCTACAACAAATTCTCCCAAAGTCTAAATGTCTGGGTGTTAAAATTAACCTCCAGTGGTTTTCTTGGTGCCATGGCTGTGTCCAGAGCCTTAGTGTACCAGGCTTTGTGTAAAGCTGCAGGACAGGGATAGGAAAGGGGTTTCTGGTGACAGATTTTGTGTGTCAGAGGAGCAGACCTACTTTTATTTAAATGTCAACTGCTCTATAAAATACCTGCATGGGAGGGATCAGTATTTGATGGGACAAGGATGCATATCAGAAAGAAAGGTACCTTTTAATGGTGTGGGAAAGAGAATTTTTAATTCCCTGCTCACTTCTGTCTTCCTTAGGTACTTTTCACACAAATACTGTGAGATCCTGTAGTTTTTTAGCCTCCTAATATCCTGAGTACAGTTCCTGGGTTATTTCACCATTGGCTTGAGCTAGTTCAATTTCTCCTCAGCTGTCCTGTCTACAAATGCTTCTCTTTCATACCAAATCATTGGGCAAGAGGAAGCTAGGTTTTATTTATTAAATATATTGTTTATGTACTTGAAACTTTTTTTTTTCCCCCGTGTTTGGTGCCTAATTGGTAAAGGACATTATCTGGCAGGGTACTATGAGAAAAGGAGGAAAAAGGGAAGGAAAGCAACTCCTAGGTCGAGTTGTTATGGTAAATACAGAATTTTTACACAGAGTTTTATTGAGACACAGGTAAATGGTGATTAGGCTTTTAATTGAGGAGGAAGAGGTTTTTTGCCTTAGCAGAATCCATCTGCACTATGCTGGTACTACTGACAGTGGCATTTGTGCTGCATTGAATCAACCTGCATCATTTTAACACATAATTTCCTGTTTGGTAAGAGTTGCACTCAGAGGAAATCAACCTTTAGAGACCTCTGTGGCTTCACAAAATCTCTATCCTAATATAATCTCCTGGTTTTCTGTACTCTTCTGGGGTTTGGCATCCCTCCTGGGCTACCTTGCCTCAATAACCTCATACAGGCAATAGGATCTTGCCTTTCTGGCAGTGGTTGATTCCAGGTGATTTTAGAAGGAATGACCCTGCAGTCAGTGCTTGCATGCTAGTTTTCATGTAGAAATGTCCCTCTTCAGTCTCTCAGCATCCCCAAAATCATAGAACAGCCCAGGCTGGAAGGCACCTCAAAAGATAATTGATCTGGTCCAGCCTTTTTCTGGGGAAAGGGAGCATAGGTGAGGTGATAGAATCATCACTCACCAGCATCCTGGCTAATTACATCTTTTAAACCTCCAGTGACACAACTCTAGGAGGGTTGTTCTAGTGGGTGATTTTTCTTACTGTAAAAATTACCTTAAATAATGTTCAGGAGAGGAAAATATAACCACTGGAAAGCCTTTGGTTAGGCCAGGCAATAGAAAGCTCTCTAAAAGCTGATCTTCCCAGAGCACTCCTTTGAGACAGGATTGTGATTTTCTCCACAACCCTTGCTGTGGTGCCTCATCATCTCCCAGCATGATTTTATTATTACTCCTGTTATTAACATCCCTATGAGAAAACAACTGTATCTTGGGTGTGCTGCACCATGAAAAAAACCTTCCAGAACAAATTATTCTGTTTGCTTTTTGTTTCAAGTTGTTTTGTTTGGAGATGTTGGAAATTGCTGCCTTTTCAGACAGAGCTTCCCTTGGACAAGCAGCAACTGCTCTCCCAACTAAGCCTTTTCCAGGTGAATACCAAAGTTGTACTGATGCTTTTTTCAGACTGCACAAGAAATAAAACCACTCCAAAAGGGATGTGCAATCTAAATTTCCTCTTGCCAATTTGTTCCCTGCCTTTTCAGCTGTAGGATGTGAAGGCTTCATTGTTCTCAGCCACGTGTTGGAGATTTTTGCGTAACAACTGTTCAGTCACAAACTGGAATTACTTGGAGCCAAAGGAGTGATGTTGTGTGGTGTTCTGTGTATTGTCATTGTTTATTGCTAAGAGTATTATTTAATTGAATGCTGTCTGTGGCACACTGGGCTCTGAAGTAAAGGAGCATCGAGGTACAGAATCCTTTCTCTGCCAGTGTTATTCTTTACTGTTCCTTAATTAAGATATCAAACGTTTTTTTCCTTCAAATCTCTCAGATTTGCCCCAAAAGCAATAAGATTAACCCTCATGCTGTGGGACTTTGTACATCCTAAATTACAGAAACATGGGATAGCATTCTAAAATATTTATTCTGTAGCTCGTTACTGGTAATAACAGAAAGCAGAAGGGATGGAATCTTTCATGGTTTCTGTGCTCAGTTCTCTCAGGAAAATTGACTGTATCAAGTGTTTCTACACTTTCTAAAACTTTTTTTTTTTTGTTAAACTGTGTCATTGTGAAAAGTGAGTATTTTTGCAGAATCCTACCAGCCAGTCTCCTGCCAGTCTAACCAGCCACATTTCTGTACTCTCGTATTGTTCCAGAGATTGCCTGAAGTTAACATCCAGGTAACAGTTGGATTTATTTCAAGAACTGAATTCCCTGCCAGTTTGGCAGTGATTTGTTCTGCATACACAAAGATGTCTCAATTTCTCATCTGGAAAACCAGGAATGGAATAAATACCACACATCCAAGTGTGTCACATCCAAACTATAGGTACCCCATGCAAATTCATGGGGTAAATATCTGTGAATTCTTGGCTAGTGATGAGATTTCCTTGGTGCTGTTTACAGTAATAATAATGTCACTCCTGATTCCTTTTGGCCTGACATTTATTATTGATTTGGGTGTACCTGTTGGAAAATTCTTTAACCCTTGTATTCTTGGCCTCTCACGGTTGGCCTCATCTGTGAAAGGAGATGAACGTGGGAGAAGGATCTGCTCATCCACACCACGATGCACAGCAAAGCTCTGCTTGAAAAGCAGTTTTGGAGACACAAATGCAGCCAAGTGACTTGAATCTCTGAGATAGTTACCAAGGTTTGTTTCCATGTAGGGACTTCTGCTCTACAGCAAACCCAAAGTCTCATGGTGGCAGCAGGACAAAGGAAAAAAAGTATTTCTATCATGTTTCTCATCAGCTTGTCTTGATTGTCTTGATTATTGTTTTTGCACTGATCATGGCAGGAAGCTGTTAAAAAATCAGTGCAGCCACAGTTGGAAAGGATGTTTGTTGCTCTAAGATGCTCTGAGAAAGCTCTTCTGGATTTATTTTCTCCCCTGGGTGCTGCAGGGCTGTTCTGCATCTGTACTGCTGCCATCTCAGTTCAGACAGAGTTCTGCAGTAGAATTTTAAATCACAGAATAGATTTGGAAGGGGCCTTAAAAATCACCCAGTGCCACCCCTGCCATTGGCAGGGACACTTTCCACTGTCCCAGGCTGCTCCAGGCTGCAACGTCCAACCTGATCTTGGGCACTTCGAGGGATTCAGGGGCAGTCAAAAGTTCACTGGACAGCCTGTGCCAGGACCTCCTCACCCTCATTGGGAAGAATTTCTTCATAATACCAAACCTAACTGTACTTTCTTTCAGTTTAGAGCCATTCCCCTTGTCCCATCACTACATACCCTCATAAAAAGTCCCTTTCCAGCTCTCTTGCACAGCTGATGGCTGAAACATTGGATCACTCATCCAAACAGCCCAAGCTCACTGTTGCTAAATTCTCAATATCTGAGCAGAAAGTGTCCTGGAGATTTCAGTGTCACCCCCAGAGTAAGAATTCCATCAACATTTGGGGTGTAATTCCCTTGTACTCCTGCTTTATCCAGGAGTTGTGTTGGCCAGTTACAGTGCCTGGTTAGTTGCTGACAGTTTTACAAAGCTGATTATTGGGTGCAATGTCTGTAGAGCAGCTAAGCCAAGTTTTTCAGTTCTATTATTTTTGCTGTCACTTGAGTACCTTCCTGTGTTTTTCTGATTTTGATTCTAGAAGCTTTTTAGGGTGTCCTGGAAGTGTAGGGGAAAAAAGAAAAACAACAACAAAAAAACAACAACCAAAAAAAAAAAAACCAACCCCAAAAAAACCAAAGAAAAACAAAACATAACAAAAAAACAAACCAAAAAATCCAAAAAACCCAGTAGTAATGGCAGAATGAGGAGGTAAAATTAGGAGAAACAAGTGATGCTCATTTTCTACAGCTTCCCACCCTTCTCCTGCCCACCTGAGCCTCAGGTTGCTGCCGTGATGGGTGATGGAAGCTCAGGGAAGGAGGCAGCACAAGCTGTGGCTTGTTGGCCAGAGTTGTGGCATCGGGAATGACGTGCAGGCTGTTGTTAATGAGAGCAGACACCAGGCAGCTCTGAGCTCTGCCAGCCTTCCCTCAAGCCTCGTGCTCATTTATTTCAGTGCCTCTCCCAGCACAGCTTTGCACAGAGCTCAGGGGAACCTCGGAGTCGCCAGGACTCGTATCTTCCATGTTTAGTGAATGTAAAATCACAGAATCCTTTCAGGCTGGAAAAGACCTCCAAGATCATCGAGTCCAAACTATGTCTGATCTGCACCTTGTCCCCAGCCCAGAGCTCTGAGTGCCATGTCCAGGTGACACCTCCAGGGATGGGGACTCCAAACCTCCATGGATAGCTCTTCCAGCGCCTGACCACCCTTTCTGTGAAGGAATTCTTCCTGATGTCCAACCTGAGCCTCCCCTGGCACAGCCTGAGGCCTCTTGTCCCCTTCCTGGTTCTTACACAATGGTTTGGGTTGAAAGGAACCTTAAAAATCATCCAGTGCCACCATGGGCAGGGACACCTTCCACTGTCCCAGGCTGCTCCAAGCCCCAATGTCCAACCTGGCCTTGGGCACTGCCAGGGATCCAGGGGCAGCCACAGCTGCTCTGGGCACCCTGTGCCAGGGCATCCTCACAGGGAAGAATTCCTTCCTAATATCTAAAGTAAATTTTCCCTTTTTCCCATTCCCCCTTGTCCTGTCACTCCAGTTCCTCATGAATTGTCCCTCTCTGGTTTCCCTGTAGCCCCTTCAGGCACTGGAAGCTGCTCTGAGGTCTCCACACAACCTTCTCCTCCCCAGGCTGAACAGCCCCTGTGTTCTCAGCATCAAGAAAGGGTTCAGAGCTGGGGGGAAAGAGGGGCCTGAGGGACAATTAGGAACTTTGGAAGTACAGCTAAAAAACACATGAGAGAATACAAGCTCAGCCTGCTGTGCAGAACTGATGGCAGGCTGTGGTTGGCTGCAGGGCTGTGCACTAATTAGTGATTATTGCAGAGGATCTGTTACCTGTTCTGTTAGAGGGAGAAGTGTTGATGTGTGCTCAGTGTGTGAATTTACCATCAATTAAACTCAAAGGTTTGGATTCACACGCTCGGTGTGTTGTTATGTGCAGCAACATGCAGAAACCAAGCTGTGAGATGCTCAGTGATATGAGAATGAAGAAGGCCCACGTTTCATGGCTTTTGGGAATTGTGGAAGTGAGGTTGTGAGCAGGCTTTTCTCAAGGGTGATTGTCCTTTCTCACGCACAGAATAAACCTCTGTGATGCCTGCACGCAAGTCAGGCACAGGAGAGTTGTCAAGGGGGTGACACTGGGGTAAAAGGGGGGGGCTTTACAATTGAAAAAAACCCTCTAAAAATCAAATCAGCTCATTGCAAGAAAGGGTGAGGAAGTACTAACCCTAGATCCTTGCTCTCCCAAGGGAGATACAAAAGAATGGCTCTCAGTCTGTTATACCAGCTGGTAGATAAAAAATAATAAATAAACTGCATGCTCATGCTCCTTTTCCCTTCTCTCCACACTAATGCCCTGACCCTAATCAGAGCTTCCAAAGGAATAAATACCTTTGCCTGGCTGACATACAGATGGCACTTGTGGCCTTGTTAGGGAGTGAAATTCAGGATTGCTGAACTGCAAATACGGGTGCATGGGTTGGGGGTGTTTGGGCAGGAGTGGGTTCTTTTTGGGGCTGTGTGTCTTTAAAAGCATAGAATAACTGCTTTATTGCTTTCCTGTGAAGTCCATGCTGGTGCTAACAGATATTTGCTGAAGAGACTGGAATCAGTGACAAAGCACCATTTTTAAAGAAAAAAATCTTATCTTGCATAACCAAGAGAAAAATTGGAAACTTTGTCCTGAAGGCAAATGCACCTATTTCTCATTCACTCTCCTCCCTTTTTCACTAATTTTTTTCCCATGAAATACATGCAAATCCCAACATGCACTAAGTTTTCCTCCAGGCATGATATACTTGTGTGGTTATTTAAGTAAGAAGTGGGTTGAATAGAGATATGAGGTGTTCCCAGCAGAAAGAGCTTGGAAAAGAGTCCTCTGATTATTGCTGTTGTTTTAAAATCATGCACTCAACCCTGAGAGCATTTGTAGGTGGTAAAGGGTATAGCTGTCATTCTAATTATACAAAACACACATTTCCTTCTGAATTTACTTTGTCTATTCACAGTACAGCTACTATTTCTGAGTCTGCCTACTTGGAAAGGTGTCTAGAAATTAAGTTGTAAGCATTTGATCAAAATGAAGAGTGGTTTAAGGAGTAATTCAAGTAGAGCAAGAACTTGCTGTTATCAATTAATGCTTGAAAGAAATCACAAATTCTGGTTGTACAGGACACTTATCAGTCTGGAAGCAGCAAATCAATGTGTGTGGTCTGTGCTTGGCTGCAAACCCTTGCAGAATCCTTCCAGCTCTCCATTGCCTTTAAAGGTGCCTGTGTTTGGGGTGAAGGATATTGAAAATAGTGGGGTTGAGCCTAAACTAACAGAAGTACAAACAGAAGGATTAGAGGGTGGGTGGGGTGTAGAGGGAAGGGGGGAGAGCTGTGGGTGTTCAGCTGGGATGGGAGGAAAGGGCAATGGGGGAGGTTCAAATAAAATATAAAAGCCAGGAAGGGGATGTGAGAGGTTCAGGTGGGATGCACAGAGAAGGAAGCAGGATGTGGATGCTCAGGTGGGATGCACAGACAAGGGGAGGCTGTGCCATCATGGACAGGAGGATTTCAAAGCCTTTCCCACAGTTTTCCCTCTGGTGGTTTTTGCCTCTGGTCATTGGGATATTGTGGATACTGGCGTTGGTCAATTAGAATAATTATAACTTGAAATATTTTGTTCCAGTGGTATTAATACCGTGGCTGGAATAACTTTAATAAAGTTACTTGACCACGGATTATTTAATGTCCAGCATAAACACTACTCTTCCTGCCTTTCCCTCTGTCTTTAGGGATGCCAGGAGTTCCTGTTTCAGGGAAAAGGTTGCTTGTAGAAGTTTGGATTGACCTGTTACAACGTGAGGAGAGTCCCACTTGGAATACCAGACCATGATTTCTCTGGGAAGCCTTCCAGAATTTCCCTTTCTGGTAGGGGAACACTTCCAGAGGGGTATTTTTAGTAGCTGGAAGTACAAAGAGCACAAAGCCAGTCGTGTGGATGGTGCCTGTTCAACACATGGAGTTGGCACAGCCATTCCTGCACGTTTTCCCACTTTCCCACTTGGTTTTTTCAGCCCGGAATTATGTCAGCACCCACGTTTTTTAATCAGTGGGATCAGCACGAGCATCAGGGAAGACACAGTCAGGCTTTTACACTAATGCTTGAGGCTACTGGGCAGAGTTTGTCTTCCAGATCTGTATGAGAAAGTGAAGAGCCTCCTCCCTGTTGCTTGTTGCCATCCTCCTCCCGAAGTCTGCTGCTGACTGGAATCCGTCAGCTGATCTGCTCAGAGGCTCCTGGAACCCTAAAATCTAATCCAGAGTGCTGGGAATAAAGCAAGGCAGGGAGTGGCTCTCAGAGCAGCTGATCTGGCAGATCTTTGGAGCTAGAAACCCAGGGAAGAGGAGGGAGGTGGAAAACCACAGGGAATGGGCCAGAAGAATTTTTTAATGAAGTTTGCTGTTGTTCTATCTGCTCGGAGTTAACAAAAAAACAGTGGAACTATTTCTCATTGTTTTACATTCCTGTGGCTTCCTTTATACAAACATGCATCCAGTTGAGCAGAAAACTGATTTCCCACTGTACCATTCCCCCCAAAAACCAGCTTTGAGCTGCAAATGCCCCTCCCTTTTTTTTTTTTTTTTTTTTTCCTTCCCACCAATTTTCTCATCAATTTAGCAGCTGTGCTGACTCCAGAGCTGCATCCCGAGAAGAACAAGAAAATGGAGCCAGCCCTGTTCAGTGGGATCCCACTCTGGTGCCAGTGACTGGAATTGCACTCTTGGTAATGGTTGCTTGGGTTTTCACTGTGCAAAGAGGTTTTGCAGCCCTGCCGTGGAGTTAAATTCTAAGAAAGGCTGAATATATTATAACATTATTTATACTATTATATAATAGTATCTATTATAATATTATTTATAATGATAAAATTATAATTAATCTGTAAGTATCTGATAGATTATAAGAAACATCCCTCAGCAGATGTTTGGGATGGTGACCATTGGACTCTTACCATATGGTTGTAATGAAAATGTTACAACTTGTGGCTTCTGGCAAGATGTAAATGTTAGCAAAATATGGACTTAAATCCTTATTAAACACCTTATTTCAAGGTATCTAGTAATTAAAAACAAACAAACAAACAAACAAAAAACCAAACAAAAAACCAAACCAAAAACCCCCAACCAAACAAAAACAACAAAAAACCCCTAAAAAATACTCATGTCATTGAGGAGACTGTAATCTTGACTACTATTTTTACAAGAGAAACTCACAGAAATGTAATAAAACTCAAACTTTTAGGCAGTGGCCCCAGGAAGCAAATTTAAGAAGGCTGGATTGATGCTGCCATGTGTGAATGGAAAGATGCTGCTCTGTAGAGAAGTGCACGGGGGAATTTTGCAATCACACTGGGCAGCACTTGAAGGAGCACCCACAGCTGGGAAGAGCAGGTCATTCCCACCTCACCTTTCACACAGAGTCTGTGGGACAATATTCCAAGACTAGAAGGTAATTCTGACTTCAGTTTACCTGGAAAATAACACTGATTTCAGTTTACCTGAGCTTTGATAAGCCTCACCTGCATTAAGTCCTTCAACAAAGACTTATACCTGTTTTTTTGGGTTTTTTCCTTCATTCCTGGTTATCATGGATTTTTGTTTGTATTGACAACTAGTACTAATATGGAAAGGCAGTGAAGAGGTGATGTCATGAGAACTTCTGCTGAGGTTTTCTCTTCTAAGATCAGGGCCTCAGCAGGTGCAGATTTTAAGAAAGTGTTTTTAATGGCAGAGTTTTCTTCCCTTTCAGGGATAAGAATTTTAAGTTTAAATTAGGATTTGTATGAATCTTCACAGGAAAATGGAGACTTTTATTGTTTCTATGGTGTTTTCCTTAATACACTGGTGTTATCATGATGGCTATTGTATTTTACAGTTTTTAAATAGTATTAAATGTACTCAAAAAGAAAACAGAAAAAAATCAAATTCTGCAGAAAATTACAGGCAGACTCTGTGGATGTAATAGCAATAATATACCAGACTTTTTAATATAGCTGGTTTGGCTCTTGTGTATCCTGCTCTTTATTCTTAACACTGTAATCAAGTGTAATTACAGGTGTAGACATTTTAATTAAAGGTGAATGAGTTTTAATTAAAGGTGAAAAAAGGAGAATTGGACCAACATTAACAATGTCTCTGTGACCTAAGCCGAAGAGTGTCATAGTATATACCTAAGGAAATCCTGATTTTTACAAAATTTTCCTATTGAATCCTTGAAGTGCCTTTGTGCAGAAAGTTGTGCTTTGAGGTATAAAGCACTCAGGTGTTGCTGCATTTGTGGGACAGTGGGAAATCTGCTCGCCACTGACATTTGCAAGTTTTATTTGGTGCATTATCAGTAGATAGCAATTAACAGCTTCTCTGCTAAGGCTACCCACAGAGTATGAATTTACTACACTCAGGAGGAGTTTGTTGGCAGAATTGTGACGTGAAATACTTGATGTTGGCATTTTCTTTTCCATTTTCTTTTCCATTTTCTCTTTGGATCTGGCTCACAATGGGGAGTTTTTCCTCAGTCTTACAGCGTGTCCCACTATCTTTGTAACATGAGATTATCACGGTAGCAAAGACAAAAATGAAAACCACTGGAACAGATCACCCAGAGAGGGAGTGGAGCTCCTTCCCTGGGGATATTCCAGACCTGTCTGGACAAAATCCTGTGCTTTGTGCTCTGGGATGGCCCTGCTGGAGCAGGGATGTGGGACCAGATGAGCCCCTGTGGTCCCTCCCAACCTGACCCACTCTGTGATATTTGAATAACATTTGTGACCTTGAATTCAAATTTTCTTTCTCTTTCTTGGGACTAAAATGATCTTTTTGACAAAGATGCAACTTCTCCTGTGTTTTAAGAGCATATGTGAAAAACTTTGATACACTCAGTTCCATGATTAACTTGTAGTTTGTAGCCAGATATAGTGTGTTTTTTGCTGGTCTGAAAAAAAAAAAAGACAACAAAATCTGATGTTTCCTTGGTTAGCTGGAAATGTTTGGGATTTTTTCTTTGCAAAGAGAAATCAGACATTTGCACCAAGCTGTTCCTGTAAGTTTGATGTTCAAACATTGCCAAGATTAGTTTCAACTAAAAATGGTTTGTAGCTTGACCACTTTTAAATGTCTTATGTTAAATAAGATCATTTATCCCTTCTGTGCTTTCTGTACCAAGTAAACCAAGACAAGAGCAGTTACTACACTTTTATTAACAGCTTTAATAAAAAAAATTAAAAATAATAAAATTTGTTAACAATTTGTTAATGAAAACAATTTATGTTAATAAAAATTTATGTTAATAAAAAATTTGTTAACACAAATACTGATGCTGATACGGTTTTTTTTCTGAGTCCTGAGGGTGTTCACTCCTGATCAGAAGTGGTTTCATATTGATATGACTTTATGGGGAAGCACCTTCTGTCCCTCCTGCCCTCAGAACCTCAGCTCTTATTTATGGCCAGTGAGCATTGGCTTTGCACCCATGAATGTGATGACATTTCCTTACCTTCTCCCTCGGTGTAACTCTCGAGCAAGATTGCTCTTAGAGAAAAAAATTGTTCAGGAAAACTGTCTATCTGGTCCACAATTATTGTTTTATGAGTTTTGCTCTTTCATTTAAGTGATATAACTGAAAAAATAATGGCAAAGAAGAAACAACTGAATTGAGTTACTGAAAAACTGTGGAACTAAACAATTTTGCAAACCTCATATGTACATATCCAATGTTGGTTTTGAAACAGTGAACAATTAATCAATACAAAAAATTCGTTTTTCAGAAGCCTTTGATCATCTTTTCCTTATGTCTCTCTGTGTCTTTTAAAGAGTCATAGTTTATCATCCTTAAATCCCATTCTCTATTATCTCTGATTTTTTCATATCAGAGTTTGTGATAATATTAATGACATACAATATCTTTTTGAGGTTAAGAACAAACACTAATGAGGACGAGAATATTTCCATGCAAGGCAACGTCAGACCAAAAGGTGGTGCTTTACAAAGATATTTTATTTCTCGTGTGTATCATATTGGAATTAGAATCAGTGTGATATTGGAGTATTTATTATCAGTATTTATTGGGGTAAATATACTGCAGTGATGGAGCAGAGTCATTTCTGTTTTCTGATGGTGCCTACAGTCCATGCTTTGCTTTAGTAAACTTTGCCTCACTGGGTCTATAATAATTTCCACTTTCCTCTTAACATTTCATATAGGATGCCTAAAAATATCCTTTAGACCCCAAATTTAGAATATCTATACTCACATAATGCTCTCATACCTGTCTTCATTATTTTTTTCTTAAATGAAGTAAGGAATGACCCACAAATTCTCTTTATAGAAAGAGGCAGTTCTGTTGTTAAATCAACCTGTGAGAACCTCTAAATAAAAAATTTTATTTACAAGTGGATTGCACATGTAGTACTGCCATATTTTTAAAGCTATAAGCCTAAGCATATAATACAGATCATTATTCATGATAACTTTTATAGTTAGATTACAATCTATTGTTACAAACAAACTTTATTGCCGTTATGACTGATATCTTACAGAAATCATATTTCTTGCTGTAGTTATTTTTGATACTGATGCCCTTTAATGCACAGCAATCAGTCCTTACATACTGCCATGATTGGTCTATTTATTTTAAAAAATAAAGAGGGTTCAGAAAAAGTTCAAAGCCCTCAGAATTTTTCTTTGCTGCCTCTGTCACTAAGCACAGTCTTCGCTTGAAAAACATGTTTAAACCCCAGTTAATTGATTTAATATTCCACTTTTCGGTATTTGTAAGTGGGCAGTTGGGGCTGATGGAATCCTTGAGCCCACAGCATTCTGCAAAACCTCTTTTTATACATGTTTTTTCAAGTTCCAACTATGTAGTGAATTTTATTAATTAGAAGAATGTTTCCCAACTTAGTAGGCAGGCTCCACCAGCCCCAGGAGGTGGGGTAGGGCACAGTGTGAAAGAACAGAACTTTGAGGGCAGGGAAAACTGCTTACCTTTCCCACCCGCCTGCAAGTATGTTCCCACAGTAATGAACATAATTCTCTTTGGAAAATCACCCATGCAGCTTCCCCCAGCACTTGTGGTACCTCTCACTGTGTCAGCTCCAGCTTCCCCACAGGTAAATCTTCGGAGTCAGGCAGCAGCCCCAGAAATTTCGCTCCTCTCCTGTTTACACAAAGAATATTTAGGAAAGTTCCACTGAAACATTCAAAGTTTTGGTGCCAAGGAATTAAAATGAGTTTAAGCCCCGTATGGCTGCTCTGATTAAGAGGTGAAGTGGTTTTCCATCTGTCTAGCTCAATATTTTAGTTGACTCACCTTTACGTGCCTCTGTGTTTCCATATACACAGGACCTTGGATTTCTCAGATCCTGTTTCAAGCCCTTCCGAGGAAATAAGGGCTTGTCTGCCTCGGGGAGCTGTTGTGAAATACTCTGGAGTGTGAATTGAGAATACAGCATTAACTCCTTGTGGGAATGCTCTGTTCTGCACACAGAGTGCCCAGCATCTTGCTTTAATCCACTCTGCTGAGATTAGAATGGCAAAAACCAGGTAATCCCAAATAAAATAGGGTTTGTACATTTATGTATTTTTCTTTGCACAACCTGAATGATATTTACATTTTAATCAGCTGTTATCAGTCTAAGGAGTTTCACCCATTTCCCATTTCCTGTCCCTGGTGTTTGATTTGGTTGAAAGCAGTTGCTTGTCCCAAATTCAATGTGTAGCTTTACAAAGTTGTGCCAGCACAGCAGAGAAGCTGAAGGTCAAACTGTTGGGAACTGAGGGGAGCCCTTTGAATTTGGACTGCTGGCAGTGTGCTGCTAATGGCACCCTGTTTCACAGTGCAGAAAATGCAATGTACAGCCCACTTTCACTCTGGGGTTTTTGTGGACTGAAGAAGAGGATGATTCAGGTTTAGTCCCCCCTTGTAAGTCCAGACTCGTGGGGTGCTGCATCCTGACACCCAGCTCAGTTTAATTACTCTGCAGTCTTCCCATTTCTGTTGGAATTGCCTGCACTGCTCTAACAAACCTCGAGCAGGAGCAGGGAGAAGTGAAGGAAGGGGACAAAGTAAAAATATACAGAGGAATAAACCAACAGAAAAGCATGAACAGACACATCCCTGCTCAAAAGAATGAGGAGCATTTACTCAATTATTCTGGACAGACTTTTCATCTAGGAGATGGTAGGTGAGAATTCAGGACCTGTTTTGTGTTGTGGATACTGCAAAATTTTCTGCATTTTTGTAGTAGATGTAATTGTCTCTGTGTTGGAGCGAGTTAATTAAATGTTACTGCAATATTTACTGGTGTCTGTTCGGTTTTTAAAAGCACTTAATTCTATGTTCCTGTCAGTTGATTTTCTGCCAAAACCATCTTGTCTTCTCCATGCTTCTATTTTGGTTTATGTTACCTTCAGTAACCCAATGTGGTTTCATGAACATGTTGCACTTCATGCCTCTGATAATGAGGAAGA